CGCTGTACAAGTGCTGAGAACATCAGTTTTGATCAGTGTGGCCAGGTATACTTATATCTGTGTATATTGTACACTTGTGTTTGTGTGCGTGCCTACTGGGAATATACACTCAGTCTCACTATTGATTAGGCATGGAGACGTGACATAGGTTATTGGATTTATTGTCCCCAACATTTTCCATCCCTAACAAAGCAAAAATTCCCTCTGCCCAACATGATTTACACATTTATAGCCAATTTGACAGTAAGGTCAGAAGCAGTATTTTTGCTACTTAAAATATTAATAGAGCTTAAAGCCCAACTCTTGCTATCAAACATAATATAATGATGTCCTTCACTGTTGGAAATACATTAAGAGCATTCTAAACATACTCAAAGCCCCTAAGAAGCGATGATACTAAACATTAAGGAAAAACATAAAATGACAATTGCAGATAAGTGCCACTCACCCCCTCGAGAATTTATTTCAGACCGACTGCTAAGTAGGTATCACAATTTGAATCAGTGAGTATGAAAAATATCTGCAAAAGCCAGAATGAAGTAGCCATCACAGGATGAATGGCATCCAAACTTTTATTGGCTTCCAATTTCATAGGTTCTCTTTAAAAGACCTGAAGATCAAAGTCACAGAGATTCAAGGAAGTGTCCAAGCTGAAAAACCTTCCAGCTTATCCCACTTTCTGATCAGATCCCCAGGAACTACATCTATTTGTGTTCTCACTTTGATCTTAGTGAAAACTTCTTATACCATCTTCTGTAAGACAACAGTGTCTATTGAACTTACACGCATGATAATGCAGGAATCAATGGATTAATTATCAGCAGACTAATTGCTGGCTCTTCAGAATTTCAAAACCCGTGCTAAAAGAATTAGAGGTATTACTCCATCTGCCATCTTGCTTCCCTCATCTTTTTCTCCCACTTTTAATTAACACCTTAATATTAAGAATTAAAAACACATATCTGTATAACCATATTCATGTTCACATTTCTGTTGAGGAAACTTGCTAAGAGAGTTCTCCTCTGAAAGTGAGGTTTTACGCAAAACTGACATATGTAGGATACATTGTAAACCAATAAATTCAGTATAATTCTAATGGACATATATGGTATATCTAAAAGTAGGGTTTTAATTGCTGTATATTGTTGAATTTGAAGTAAATGTAAATGCCACAATAAATTCTCAAGCACATTTGAGTGTAAGTAAATTATTACAACTCTTGAATCTATTGTGCTTGTATTAATTTTCCAGTTACATGAAAAATTTAGGTTGAAGGTGGTTAACCATTTGCAGAAGTTAGATCCTAAAATAATCTACAGAGGATAAAGCAGCTGTTTTCTGAGGATTGATACAAATTGCTTTGCAGATGTTCTGGGAACCAACAAATCAAGTGGAATCAACTGGCATGGCTGGTCTTATTTACAGTCAAAGAAGGATAAAGCAGGGAACTACAGGAGTGATTTAATAGCAGAAGTTACCTACATCAAGGACAGAACACTACATCAGCTGAGACTCGGCTTCCTACTACCTATCTTAGATAAGCTCAAGGAAATGAATGCAAAAAGAAGGGAATAATAAAACTGAATTGCAAACTCATAACACAAGCAGATACAGAGTTTCTCAATAGAAATTTAATGATATGCCTTTAAAGCATTTGCAGTGAGTATGGCAATGCAGAGTTCCAACTTTCATGCACATGGGAATACTAGAAACACCCACAGACTCTCAAGACACAGAGTACTTAAAAGATTTACTGTTTAAAGAAGCTGGAATTGTTCCACAAAAATATTGGTTGTGCACTTCTTTTAGAGTTCACAGTTGATTTAGCATGACTGTTCCCTCAGGTAAAATTGCCACAGATCTATGAAAACAGCACCTACAGGCATTTCTGTAAAAATAAGTGAATAATCTTGACTTTGATACTGTTTCCTCAGTTCAAGAGCAAAAGTTACTCCAAACTGAGGCTGGATGATACAGAAGAAGATAGGGGAAAAAAATAAATAAATAAACAAACCACTAAACTCTTCAAGCAGAAAGAAACCCCCACCTTCATGCTGAGCTCAATGAAAGATGTGGGAAACCCTTCAGTCTGTTAGACTCCCTTCCCTGGCTGAAGTCGTTAAATCCAAACAGGTAGTGGAAGAATGAACTCCAGAGAAAAGGAATAGAGAACAGGAAGCATGTTTAGAAAAAAATTTCAGCATACTGGACTCCAAATGTTGGTATCAGTGCAACTTGACCAACAACATATACAAATACTAGATTCAAAAGGTAAGACTATGAATTAAGTTTTGACTTTGCTTACAGAGAGTATCTCCTAATGCACATATCTGGAGCAAGAGCTTAAGTGCAATGCCTTGTAGGTCTCCAGAATTAAAGTTAACACACATACCTTCCCTCTATCTCATCAGAAAGATTTTATCTAAAAAGTGATGCTAAACACGCTTTAAAAATTGGACATAATCCAATATCTCATCACTGGCTGAGCTCAACATAAATTTTGTAATAAATACACACACTTGGAGCATAACCTGTACTTCTTTATATCTTCTGTTTAAGCTATTTACTGCAGTGATTGGACCTTAACACCTTGGGAGGCAGAGAGAGAGAGAGAGAGAGAGAGAGAGAGAGGAACAAAAAAAAAAAAAAGCATTAGTACTAGATTAGAAAGTACCAAATGGGAGAATGAAGTAGGTTTAGGTGGAAAAAGCCCAGCTACCTGAAATGTGTTGTTTGTTCACTAGTTATAGTAGCATATTATCAAGAAACTTGATTAAAAATTGTTCTGTTTTAGCTTAATCTGCAGTATGAGAAGTATTGAACATCTTTCCTCTCCCATTCTCATGGAGAAATGCATACATGGACCATCAAGGACAGATAATCACTAAACACAATCTATTAGAAAAGAACTGACATGAAACATGCAGCTAGAAAATCTTCATTTCTTGTTTGATGAGGTAACAACCAAGCACTGTGCAAAGCTTCTGCTTCTCTTGGTACCATTTACATTCTGTCTACAGGACAAATACTTGCCAATTTTCAAGATCTCGAATTTTTTACTGCCCCCCACTTACTACACCTGCAGAAAACACAGTTTCACATAAGGAAAAATCTGCTACAATAGAATAGTTCAGTCTTCCAAACATTCTGCCAGTCACTTTAATCCAGGAGCCAGCAGTTCAGTCATGGAATTTTGCTGTAACACCCAAACACAAACTCATGGTGAAAAACTAGCCTAACAATAGCAACATGAGAAGGAAGAACAGAAAATTAGACAATTCCTGTGCCTTCATTTGAAATAATTAATACTGGAAGAGGAACAAACAGGAAACGAAAGGTTGCATCAATTTATTTCCTTGTATTTGAAAGTAAAAGCCAGACACTAATCTTCTTTACCAGCAAAAATACTTCAAGTGACATTAGAGAATTTATTTCTAATGACACTGAGTCAAAGACATCCTCACTTTTTCCTCCTTAAAACTCTCAGAAAATAGAAAAGAAAGTGTATTCTTTCTTCAACAGTCAAATAGCTCCTCAAGATTAACATCTTGCTAAATGAGAAGTTCCACTGGTAATAGTAGAGCTTAGTAAGAGCAAGGCTTAAATAAACCAAGATGCACGGAATAACCCCTTTCAATTCTACCTTTTTTTTTTTGGAAACCAAAGCATTTAACTAACGGCAGAATATTAGAAGTCACAGAATTTATTCCTGTACATAGGAATAAATGGATGTCAGGACCTGGATGTGCAGAACATATTTCACTCTGAATCTTGTTTCTCTGCATACTACAAATTGCAAACCTTTTCTCATCTATACAGCAGAATTTTGGTGTACACTTTTTTCCCTACATACATAAGCAGTTCTATTTCTAAGACAAGCCTGTTAATATGCACAATTCTTAAAAAAAAAAAAAAAAAAAAAAAAAAAAAAAAAATGAGCATTACAAATAATTCACTGGAATATGCAGCCCTCCAATTATAAAACATATTTGTTTCCACAGTGATCTTGCAAGTAGACTCTGTGTCAGATAGCTAGCTACTTGCTGCTCTTTTGCAGAATATTCTTGCTTTCATAATCTCTAAATGAAGAAGCTAGAAGGATCACACATTCTAAAAAATATCATGGTTTAGGACTTAAAGGGGATATGTCAGTATAACCAGACAATTCATCAGCAGAATCTCAGGAATAATACAGAACTAAGAATCTCCAAATACTGCTAACTTGCACTGTTTCTCAGTTCAAGTGCATTGCATGCTGTCCAAAATAAAACTTTCTATGTTTGTCCTCCACTATAAAACTCTCTACATGTAAGCACTCAGTTATGCACAGAAGTATTTCTGCAGAAACACAACATAGCAAAAAATAAATACTGAAGTCATAACAACTAATCTTTAAGTGCCTAGTGAACACTGTTTCTCACATAAATTCCAAGACTTTCCAGAATTATTTACATTCAGAAAAGATACTCTAACCAACAGAACAATGGTAGGGACAACAAAACAAATGTACTTTAATTGCAAAGAAAAAAGATCTGCATTGTGATAATCTCTTCTGCTGTTGAAGTCAGATGAAGTTTTTCGAAACATACCATTAGTATGATATTGATAATAACTGAAATTGCTTGAAGCAAGCATTAATGACTTTACAAGAAACTGTTAGTTTATTAATCACTGGATTTTAAGCTAGCCACACAGACCAAGGAACTTTATTATTAAGTATGCAATCACAGACATTTTAACTATATCATACATCAGCAGGCACAATTACTTGTCAAACTCACTCAGGCATGATTTAGCCATGAACATATTTCAAAGCCATGCAGAGATTTTTCACTACTTGAGCAGAGTATGTTACAGATAACCAACAGTTTAGTAAGACTTTACCAATTAACTACATTAGTTTTCAAGTTAAGATTGTTTCTGTAGCAAAAAGGTCACTTATACTGTGTTAGCAATGAGGTTATTAGCTTAGCAAAGCAAAACATATTAAGTTGTCTTACCACATCATCTGTCAATGTCTTGATATTTAAATGCTGTAAATTAAACAGGAAACCAGACATGTCACAATTATGTAGTCAAGAAACAAAACAATAACAAAAAAACACCAGCTATAATCACTGTTATTCAAAAGATGCCACGTCATCAGTACTGAATTCTAATAATGCCTTTGCAAACTGCATTTTGTTGGTTTACATTGCACAACAAGTTTTCGAAGGAATACAGTGCAGATCCTCCCCAAAAAAATCTGTAATCTGATCCTTAGAAAGTGTAACTCCATGCAGAAGAATATAGATAAGCATAGCTTGAAACAAGTTCCACTTTATTATGATTATAGCTAAATATACTACAGCAGAAGACCTCTCCATAATGAATCTGAAAATCCATAATCCGTAAATGGCTCTGGGGACACCACCACCAGACTCAGCCAAGAGATTTTAAATTCAACAGGAAAACAGACCCCCAGTAGCCTAAAGCTCTGACTGCCAAGCTGCAGCACACAGTCAAGACCACTGACTGCTCTCTAGCAATGCCTGTGTGGGAAGCAGAACATTAAACTATGAGCAGAAACTCACTCTATTTCTTAGTATAACATTCAAATGCTCATGATCACTCATTGTTGTATAAAATAAAAGCTCCCGAACTCTTCTGCACTCCACTGTATACTGGCATATACAGCAAGTGCTAGGAGCAGAGTTTCTGCGCAAAACCTAAGAGCGGTACTGAAGAATACAGATGACTGATATATCTGTGCTGCAGGGATCCAATGCACTGTTTTATATGACAAAGCTTGGCAAAGAAACAGGAAGAACATAAAGTCACATACTTGGTGAGGCTGATTCTTTCCCTGTTGCTAGGTTCCTCACCGTCAAGCGTACAAAGTTTGGCAGGAGCTACAGCAACTGTCAGTGGCTGTATCTAGATTAATTAGATTTAAAACTCCTACATTTGGTCATCACCAAATTTGGAACAGGTTGCCCAGAAAGGTGCTGGATACCCCATTCTTGGAGACATTGAAGATCACATTGGATCAGCCTCTGAGCAACCTGACTGAGCTGTAGATTTCCCGGTTCACTGCAGGGGATTTGGGCAAGGTGACCCTTACGGGGTCATCCCAACTTGATTCTATGATTCTGTGATCATCACCTATGGCATCTTTGTTTTCTCTTCCCTCAGTACAGAACAACATTTTGTGTTATGACAAGTGTTATCCTGCAATAGCTCTATCCTCAGTATTATCGAGAAACTGAGGAAGAAACACGTGATGAGCAGCTATGAAATTAAAAAATAAATGAAGTGTGAGGAAACAATTACCACCCAGTGACATAGTGTAAGTTCTAACATCAATAATAAAAAAAAAAATAAAAATTGGAGCTATGTGAGTATGGACAACCCTACTCTGTTACAACAGATGAGAATTCACAATGATAGGAAAAAGGGCAATGGGTGCAAGCTGGAACATGGGAGGTTCCACATAAACATGAGGAAAAACTTTTTCACAGTAAGGGTAACGCAACTCTGAAACAGGTTGCCCAGAGAGGTTGTGTGGTCTTCCTCTGGAGACATTCAAAATCTGTCTGGGTGTGTTCCTGTGTGACCTGATCTAGGTGCTCCTGCTCCAGCAGGGGGATTGGACTAGATGATCTTTTGAGGTCCCTTCCAATCTCTGTGATAACAAAACATTAAGAATAATAAATGGGAAAACACTTCAGTGTAGTCAGCAGATTGAAGATATGTACCCTAGATTTCCCACTGCAGTAATAGATCAGACCTCTGTCACACACTATGCTATGCAGTGTTTTATGTCTCCTTCTCATTTTCCAAAATAGCTACAAAGACAACCTGAATATTAATTTCTGCACTTAAAGAGCTCCTGACTTAACATTTAGAAAATTGTTGATGTCTCTGTCTTTCAGCAGTCAAAACCAAGAGAAAACACTATCATCTGGTCTTACAATGGAACTGCCCAGCAAAGACCACAAGTGTTTATTCATGCCTCACTGAGGAATCTGCTTAGAATGAAAGTCTATTTTGCATTACCTGTTTTGTGGTGGAATTTTGACTCAAATCAAATTCTACACAATGGCAGGGAACACAGTAGCAGGTTCAGTTCCACTGAGAAGCAAATTTTTGATCATAGAACCCTTAGAGTTGGAAGCAACCTTTAAAGGTCAGTGTTCTGCACTGCTCAGTAGAAGACATTCATCAGCATCCATGGAATCAAGGGAACATTTTTGAGCTTTTGGCTTTTCCTCTGAAAAATACAAAGCGAGTGGGATAGTTCAAGCCAGCTTTCACTCATGAATATAAGAATGCTGGAGCTCCATTCCTATGAAGAAAAGCTGAAGGAGCTGGGCTTCTTCAGCATGGAGAAGAAAAAGCTCTGGAGAGATCTCATCGCAGCCTTCCAGTCATTTATAACAGGAGGAAAGCTGACTTCTTACACGGGTAGACAGTGATAGGACAAAGGGGAATGGCTTCAAAGTAAAAGAAAGGAGATGTAGATTAGACGTTTGAAGGAAATTTTTCAGAAAGTGGGGAGGTTCTGAAAAAGGCTGTGCAGAGAAATCCTGGATGCATTCAACGCCAGGTTGGATGGGGCTCTGAGCAACCCAGCCCACAGCAGGGAGTTTGGAACTCAATAATCTTCCAGGTCCTTTCTAATCTAAGCCATTCTATGATTTACAGAATTACATGTGAAATTTAGCAAGGGAATTTACTGTTAGAAAGGCTGAAAGTTCCCTATGCTATACATTAGAACATCTCATAACTCAATTCAGTTGGCTCATTAGTGAAAAGAAGGCTGGCTGTGCAGCCAATTAAGGACAACATAATGTATAAGAAACTCAGTACACAACTGTGAGTTTTCCAAGCCTTCAGCTTATTGACTACTACTCTAAGTGCAGAAAATCTAAAATTTTCTGTGTAGGAGCTTATGCAAACATTGTTGTCTGGTCTTATTTCAAAAGAGGGCTACAAGAAAGCAACTCAAATAGCACTAATCTATCAATTTTGTTAGAAAGCAGGAGAAAGCCAATAGAAACTACAACCTAGCAGTGTTCAGTTCCTTCAGCATTCTAATATCAAAGCACTGTATGACTTGCTGTAAGACATTTCAAAATATGCATTCTGTGAATTTTATAGCAAAAAAACTTCCAAGATACCAATTAGAACATGGCAACTCTTTTCCTCTCCCTCACCAAATCATCCTCCTCTGGAAAGGTAAAGTCAGTTGCCTATTTCCGTTGTCTTTGGTAGCATCCAAGTATACAGAGATGAGGAAAATAGCATTGATTCACCAAAATCTTATAAGACTGGATGTTAAGTTGATCTCTTTTAATGGCGTGAAGTTAAGAGCAATGTCATGATTTGAGAACAGGAGTACATGTTCATTCTTGCCAGGACAAACAAAGTTACAATAACAGGTAAAAAATAAATAGATCATGCTTAAGTAGGATGCAGAGCGTTTTATTACAAGCATAAATTTTTATTTTCAGTCCTAGATAAGTACGTTGACAGAAGTAAGACATAGTCTGCTCAGGTGAGCAGGTTGTCTAAAGTACAGGCCTGCAACAAAACTGGGTTAAGTAGTGTTCAAGTAATAGCTACAGTTACTGCTAAGAACATTATACAAGCCTACAGAATACTACCTTGCAGTGGATGAAAATACTGATATGCTACTCTATGCCTTCCATGAACTACTCTAGAATAGTAAAATAATTTCTTTTGAGAACACAGAAGCTACATCCAAATTATTCTCGAGTTTATTAATGGAGTAAATAGATACATATAATATTGCTAATCTTGTTTTATGTCAACATCCTATTTTGCAGTCAAAGAAAAACAAAAACATCAAGAGATTAAAGAGCTACAGTATTTGGAAAGTCCAGATTTACGTGGATTTAGCATGCTTAGAAAGTCAAGATTTACTGGGATCAGTAGCACCTACAGCTGGAAAAGCAGAAGTATCACCATTACTTAGTCTTCAGCTACATAAACACCTAATAAAACTTATTTTTTAGTCTGGGATAGGGAGAAGGAGGTGATTTTACTTAGAAATTGAGCTGGCGGCACTTCATCCAAAGCTAACTCAGAATTAAAAAGAACATAGATTTAATATTTTTGAAGAAAGCAATTTGACATGGAATTACTCCTTACTGAAGTCCCTCAGGCATACTGACAAATAACTGGTTTAATTAGACAAAGGATACATACATACGTTCAGTGTATGGTACAGTGTACTTGATAAGCTGTCAGAAGGCCTGATCTCAAAAACATCAAAGACAATGAAAGCCTTAGACAGAAACTGAAGGGTACAACATGGCACAACAGGCCATTCCCAACACATGCACTGCTAGGCAGAAGTTTACCTTCAGAACAAAAGCATCACCATGTCTTATACAAATGTCAAATACGGAGTCACCATGTGTGATACAACTTTTGGACGTAGTGCCAGGGAAAGTACGTCAATACTGCTTGTCTTCCTGTATGCTCACAGTAAAGAATCTTATTAGTATGCAGAAGACTCTTTATACAAACAGTTTTGTAGCACACACTGAAAGTGAATTTGCAAGACAAGGTTTAACAAATTGAGTCACTGCTTTTTATAATTACTCCAGGCAACTCTGGGTTGATGCAGTGAAATGAAGCAAAGAAATGAGAAACACCAACACTACAGCTCAATGTAGGCTGCAAAGGATGAAGAACATCCTAGAGCAGTGTAAGATATACTCTGTAACATTCAAATGTTCTCTACCAAAGGCAGCTTCTACCTTTTCTTGTGGTGCTCTTCTCGTCATCATATAAGCACAGACTAACATCACTCATCTTCCTGAATGAAAACAACTTGTTTAAAAAACAGTATGTTTTTACTTGAATTCAGATTATACCTGGCATGGATGGATAATGTTAACATGCTAGACAGGCAGAAGCCCAACTTGTTCATCATAAATGGAATTAGAAGACAAATAAGCACCCAACCATACACTGCTGCCAATATGACAGGAGTTCAAGCCATTCAAAGTAGCAGAATCTC